GGTATGGCTAGCTGATGAGAGCTAAATAGCTTGAAATAGATCTATACTAGTCTCCCTTTATTTATTTATCAGCACAAATACAACAACACATACATACATACATACATACATACATACATACATACATACATATTCCATTTATACAGTATGTATGTATGTATGTATGTATGTATGTATGTATGTATGTATGTATGTATGTGTAATAAATATGGACAATTATCCATTTTGAATACATAGCGGAAAGAGGAAACCAGAGAGTTCACAAGGTTGATACTACATGGAACAAAACTGTAGATATTCTGCCTTTCCTAGAAGGTAACAAGGAAAACAGATCACAATGCTTCTACAAAAGGGACAGGACTTGAAATACAATGACACTTTAACCTTTTCCTCTACTCCCCTGGATATTTCTGCACTTTGTATGAGATTGTAAATGGTGGGTCTTGTCAAGTGCAAACAACTAGAATCATTCACGGAGAGGCCCAAATAGATAGTCTATTGTTGATCACCTGTATTACAAGAATCTCACCAGACTGTCTATCTTCCCTTGGGAAATGGCAGATATACACCTAAGGGTTTGATTTCAGACATTTCCTCCTCTGAACAAACTCTAAAATGGGCTTTCTTCTTATTTACATAAAGCCCCCCCTCCCTTTCAGCCACTGGTTCCACCGCAGATCTGGAGTAAATTAATTATTTATATCAATGCACCATACATAATGTTCCTATATTGTATTTTCCCCACAACAACAACCCTGTAAAATGAATTAGGCTAGGAGAAAGTGACTGGCCCAAAGTAAGGCAGCTGGCTTTCATGACTAAGGAAGGATTGATACTACATGTAAGCGTCTCCAACTTTCTAGTCCAGCACTTTATAGATTAACCATTATACCAAATCAATTCTCTCAAACTCTCAAGCAGATGCTGAGGATGGAGTTTTTATTCATTTATTCAATTCATATTTTGCAAAAGTGGCTAGCAAAATTTAAGACCATAAACAATATGAAAAGTTTAACTTAGATAGTAAAACAATAAAATAAATACCAAAAGACCAGCAAAAGATATGTATCTTTACAGATTTTTCTGAGCAGTGAGAGAGTGAAGATCAAACAACTCTTAAGGAAGGAATTTCATAGCCTGCAGGCAATGGAGAAGAAAGTTCTCTCCAGATGCTAGAATGATAGCTTTGAACAGCAGAGGTCTCTCCAAAAGAGTCTCTCCTGCATCTGTTAACAACTAGATAAGTTCATAATGAGAGCCTGAAGCTGTTTAGGGTTTTAGATGCCTTAAATTCATCCTGGTAAGTAATACCTTTTTCCCCCCAAAATAAGACCTCCCCGATAATAAGCCCAATCGAGTTTTTGAGCACATATGCTAAAATAAGCTCTCCCTGAAAATATTGCAACACAGCAGCAGCCATGAGGTGTCCATGCTCACCACCACCTACACCTCAAAAATAATAAGACCTCTCCAAAAATAAGGCCAAGTGCTTATTTCGGGAGTCAAAAGAAAATAAGACCCTGTCTTATTTTCAGGGAAACATGGTAGGTAACCAAAACAGAGTTTTCATGCAGGCACATTGTTTCTATATCTTTCATAGATTAGAAGTCTATCTGTTCTATATTTTACATGAATTGCAACTTCTGAAGACTTTTTAGCATATAGAATACATTATATTATTGTGTTTCCCCAAAAATAAGACAGGGTCTTATTTTCTTTTGATCCCTGAAATAAGTGCTTGGCCTTATTTTCTGGGAAGTCTTATTATTTTTGAGGTGCAGGAGGTGGTGAGTGTGGTCACCTCATGACTGCTGCTGTGTTGCAATATTTTTGGGGAGGGCTTCTTTTAGTTCATGCGCTCAAAAGTCCGATTGGGCTTATTATTTGGAGAGGTCTTATTTTTGGGAAAACAGGGTAGTTAAGATGAGTGATACCAAGATGTGGATAACTCTTGCTAATTCAAGTGAATCAGGAAAGAGTCTTTATCATAACCATCATGGAAAATCCAATGATAGTCAAAAATCAAGGCACACTTCCAAATTCTAAACATGCTCTGTCAGGCGAAGTACAATCCTTAGGTACACAACAGCTTAAATCTCAATCGCTGAACACAGTTCAGTCTTTCTCAGTAGCTTCTCACTAATGTCTAAATTAAATTGCAAGTCATTTACTTCAATACAATTAGCAACAATTTACAAGATTATGGATTAGTCGATTGAAATTGGATACTAAGGAACAGTATCGTACTGATGACATGCCACTAGAAGACATCAGTTGATGTCTCCAACAGTTTTATATAAATGGTAAATAGCATGGGAGACAAAGTGAAATGCTTGGATATCATAAATCATTGGTCTATGTGCTGAACTATGCTCTGTCATCCCCACCATTTGTATGTAACCTGACATGCAGGTAAACCATCTGGATACCATTTTCAATGGTCTGAAAATCCACAGGAAAGTCCAGAATAATTAACAGACCTGTACATTCAGTTTCTGGCATACGTCATCTACAAAGTGTCTAAACCATTTCAGTGCTGTACCCCAGCTGAAATCCGATTGAAATGTATCCAGAAAATCTGTGTCAGATCAAGAAGTCTGGTGTTATGGAGCCACCACCTTCTCAATTACCTTTTGATTCAAAAATTTATTAGTTTATCAAAATATAAAATACAGAAATATAAAGAAAAATGAAAATAATGGAAAAGTAGGGAAGAGGAAGGGGGGAAAGTGCAGGGCACGGGTGTCAAACTATCCGCGTCACGTTGATGTCACATGATGTATTGTAATATGTTTTGCCTTCGCGCAGCTGGGGTGGGTGTGGCCTGTGCGTGATGCATCCAGCGTCCAGTTTGACACTTCAGGTCAGAGGTGGATTGCTCCCAGTTCAGCCCAGATTGGGTGAACCGGTAGTAGCAGCAGCAGGAGGCTCCACCCACCCGCCCAGACCCTTCTGTTCATGCACAGAACCATTGCGCATGTGCGCCCGAACCAGTAGTAAAAAAATTGGCAACCCACCACTGCCCCTGGTGTATGGTAAAGGGGAAAAGACAAAGACAAGCATGATACAATGATACAAATCCATATTCCAAGGAGTGCTTCTTTGGAAAAAGTCTTATTCCTCCTTTAGGCAGTGCAGAAACATTTCTCCTAGGAAGGAAACATTTATCATCTCCCTTAACTATGGGTCTATGCTAATCTTATTTATTATTGTTATTTATTTTTTATGACATCCATCTCCCCTATAAGGTGATTCTTAGAAGCTAACAGATTATAAAAAGATAAATAGAAAAGTAATTAAAATATTAAAATTAAACATTTAAACCATACCAAAAAACAAGAGTAAGAGATGGATGTCCTGGGCGGTGATCTTCTTACTCTGTCAACCATCTCCAGTGGTAAATGTCTACCTCAGAGGTCTCAAACCAACTGGCACACAACACAAAATTACACAAAATAGCCACAACTACCAGCTGCTCTTTGAACAGGAGTCTTGAGTTCAGGAAGAATCCTGGTGAAGTTGTGCACCAAATCTGTCATAGTGCAACCCCATCCAGAGTTAATGTTATAAATCACCAGAGCCAGAGGTTCCTTGCACCCATAGCCATTCCATCTTGCTAGGGTTCAGTTGAAGCCTGTTGTCTCCCATGCAAACTGTATAGCTTCTAGGCACTAAGAAAGGTCGGTCACAGCATCTCTTGAATCACCAGAAATAGAGATGTAAAGTTATATATCATCAGCATACTGATGGTATCTCATTCCATGTTGCATGATCTCACTCATCCATTTCATGTAGATGTTAAAACAGGGTCAGAGAAACTATTAAACCCTTTGGCACCCCACAAAAGAGTGACTATGTGCTGGACCTCATGCTCCCTATCAACACCAACTTGGACCAGCCTTGGAGAAGAGAGTCAAACCAGTGCAATACTGTGCTACCCAGCCCCAAACCCCATAGCCAGCCCAAAAGGCTACCAAGATCAATGGTATTGAAAGCCACCAAGAGAAAGGATAAATACACAATCCCTTTTCCACCACTTTCACTAAAAAGGGGCGAAACTGGATGAAAATTATCCAGACAATTTGGGTCCAATAATGGTTTATTGAGGAGAGGGCATTCCAAGGCCTCCTTAAATGGTGCCAAGAACAACCCTTCATGAAGCAATGTATTAATCACTGCCTGAACCCACCTGCAGGTCAGCATCCTGGTGACTTTTACCAACCAGAAGGGACAAGGTTCTAATAAGTAGTAATTGCATCGACAGCTCCAAGGACCCTGTCAGCTTCCTCAGATCCAACAGGATCAAACGGTTCCCAGATAATTGGGCAAGTCCATTCCCTGGGCATCTCTAATGGACCTAATCCATGCTTGGTCTCAAACTTAGCATGGATCCTATTACTGCTGGTTCGCTCATCTGCGCACCATGCACATCCACTTGAAGCATGAGCACGCGATTAAAATTGTTCTGCACATGTGCAGAACCAAAAACAAGATGTCAGCGCCTATGGCGCAACCCGGAAAACCAGTTTGGTCACTGCCGGTTCCAGTGACCCAGGCTGCAAAACCACTACCTGAACTGGTCACCGGAACTGGTCCGAACTGGTAGGAACCCACCACTGGATCCAAGTGACTTTATCCTTCATGTATTTGACTAATTCCTCTGTACAGCCCTGTAAGTGATCATCCAAGCCCTCCTTTCCAAGGAGGAATCACCTTAACTGCATCTCTGAACCCATGTAGAGTTGGATTCATTCTTAGTTTTCTTCCAGCAGCACTCTAGCTATCTTCTGGCCAATTAATCAGCCAAAGGAGCAGGGGGCAAATACGTGCATGAGGATTCCTCCTATCATAATCACCTCTTCAAGATGTAAAAAATAATTCAAAATAAAGTTACAACTGATAGCCACAAGGACCCTGTCCACTTCGTGCCAAGGTGGCGCAGTGGTTAAAAGCAGCACTGCAGGCTACTGCTAGA